TTTGTGTGTGTCTTTAATAATTAAATATATAAAGGCCATTATGTCCACCACCTTTAGGTAAGAACCTGCAGCAGCTTTGGATTCTGCTATGATGAGTGGGAGGGGAGTTGTTGGAGGCTGTAGGGGGGTGGGGGTTTGAGCTGACTTTGGAGACTCATGCTAGCTACTACCCGAGGCCCGTGGAGGGGAGACAGGGTGAGGCCGGCTCGGGGGCCCTGAACTATCCAGAGCGAGATGTCAGCAGCTTAGAGAAAGGCATAGAATGGAGGTCCTGAGGAGCAGCCAGATTCTGCCTAAGTTCTGAAGGTGAAATCATGAAGAGTTTTAAAGCAACCTTTAAATATTGGTGTATGTTTAGAGAACATGAAAATTGCATGCATCTGGGGGGATTGGCATACACTCCCCCCACAAAAGATATCTTGATTATTTTGCATCTCTGCCCTGTAACCTTCTTCTTCCCCTTCCCCTCAGTCCCTTTCCCATCCCCTAAAAGTCTGTCTCCTGTTTCCTACCAGCTCTCCTTCCTTTTATTCTTTATTTGTATTTGGGCTTCTCATAAAGGAGAAATTATGTGATCATCATTCTCCGTCTGATTTATTTCACTTAATATCATGGTCTCAAGTCTTATCATTTTCCTTCTGATAACCTGAGTTTGTCCTTCTTGGTGACTGCATGGGGCTCCATTATGGATATTTCCACATTTTTCTTAACAAATTGGTTGCTGAGTCTGATTGGCTGTGCGAAACGGGTCAGCATGATTAAGGCTTTTGGGCTGAACACTGAAAGGATGTAATTTCAAGGATGAACTGATCAAATGGGTGAGATAGGATTTGAGGAGATGGTTAGGTGTGCCTGGCGTTTGTGCCGCTATTCACCTGCTGGCCCAGGGTGCTTCAGGGCCTGGGACCTTCCCAGCCAGCTCATAGACCCAGGGCCCCACATAAGCTCTCTTTGAAGCTCCACTGAGCTTCCCCTCCTGTCCTTATGTCTTTGGAGAGTGATTTGGGATGATAGTGTGCATGGAGGTTGGTCCAGGAGGTCCCTGGAGCCCTCAGCAGGTCAGGATCCAGGTGGGGTGGTTCAGGAAGGTTTGAGTCATCACTTGTCACTTGCCTTGCAGATGGGCTTGGTGCCTGGTGCCCAGCAGCTGTGAATTGCAATGACTTGCGCTGTTGTGAGGGAAATGGTAATGAGCGATCTTAGAGTGTATGCTGTGTGACATGATAAGCACCATGTAATAAACACATCACAAAGATAAAGCTGAAAAAGGTTATTGAGACAGGTCATCTAAATCCCTATGTTGGGGAAAGGCCTTCCCTTTGTGATTCTGAATTGATGATATACTTTAGCAAATGTGTTAGACCATTTCCCACTACTCTGACAAAACACCCAAGGCAGGATAACTTTATTTAAAAAAGAAGTTTACTTAGCACTCCATTTGGGATACTGCAAGGCACAGGTTCTGATGAGGACCTCTCCTAGACTGTGTCACTTCATGGTAGATGTGCAAAGTGAGAAATCACATCACCAAGAGGAAACCAGGGACAGCAGTGGTCCACAATCCCTTCTAAAGACCCAGAGAACTCCCATGAGGACCTGTTCCTAGGGGTCTCACCAACACCTACCACTGCACTCTGGGGACCAAGCTTCCAACACAGGAACTTTAAGGGCACAGACAATGGCCAAAAGATGGCATTATTGTAGGTGTGAGCAGTGCGGTGTTTTCCATGCCAGTGGGTCACATGGGCGCCTTTTATACATGCTGGCTGCAGGGCAGGGTTGTTAGCATGTATTCCTAACGTTACCCCCCAGGAGAAGATGCGGCTGTTCTCACTGGTCTAAAGACCACATTTCCAGGGCATAGTTCTTGTCAAACTGCTGGAGTCTCTTCAGCAAAGATATTGGTGCCTCCAATCCTAAATACTTGGGAAAGAGAATGCTAACGTGTTTAAAGCCTGTGTTAAAAATATTAATTTTGAAAGCCATCTTTCTTCATTTTTTAGTAGCTTGGAAAAATTCTGTATTTACAAGCCATTCAGAATGAATTTCTATCCACTTTTGGAACCTTTCCTCAAATAAAGATGAGAGGTTACTAACAAAATAATTTGTTGAGGCCTTGTGTTACATGAAATTGTCTATCCAGTTGTCCTAGACAGAGTGATAATGAGGATTTTCTAAAATAGAATTTGAAGCAAGATAGCTCAGTGGTCTAAAGTGCCTGCTTAGGCAGGCACGGGGGACTGCAGTTCGATCCCCGGCACCACATACCATGCTAGCCCCGCCGTCAGGGTAGGCTGAGCTGGCAAAAAATAAATAAATAGAATAGAATAGAATTTGAGCTTTTGTTTATGAGGAATAATTGAGATCGTTTGCTTTCCTTAAACTACTGATTTATCAGCAATTAAAAGTCTTTTGGGGTTTATTCCAAAATAAAATTCTGTCTGTCTGTCTATCTGTCTGTCTGTCTGTCTGTCTGTCTGTCTGTCTGTCTGTCTATCTCTACATATCATGGAACATTTTAGGGAGATAGAAAAAAACTTTAAAGCAAAATAAAAATCAAATGTTATTTCCACTGTGAAGAAATAGCATATTGGTCTGGGGTGGGGGTCGTGGGTGTGGGTGGTGGTGTGAGTGGAATCCATCCAGCTTTGGCATCAGTGTTGCTGACTACCTGGATGAGTTGGGAAGTGTTGTCACCTTGTTAATTGTCTGGAAGAGACTGAATAGAGTTACATTATTTTACCCATAAATATTTGGTACAGTTTGCCAGATAAACCTTTAGGCCCGATGTTTCCTTCATGGCCCTTTCTTTGTTGAGTGAACTACAGAATTTACCAGGTGGTTAATTTATTAGCACAAATTTATTTATAAGATTCCCTTGTTGTCCTTGTAACACTGACAGGATCTGTAATGATGATTTTTTTGGTCATTTCTGATATTGGTACTTCCTGCCTTCTTTTCTGTTTTGCATGTATATTTCGCTCAGATACTATTTCAGTATGTTTCCCTATGTTTTGATCTTGCTGTCATTTTCTCCACAACATACATTCTAATTCATTTTTAAATATCTTTTTTTTGGTCAGTATGTGCTATTTAGAATAGTGTTAGTTTTTAAATATTTGAGGATGTTTAAAAGATACTTCTGTTGTTAATTTAGAATTAGTTTCATTGTGGTCAGCAAAAGTACTTTGTTTATTCAAATATACTGAGATTTCTTTTTCTTTTTCTTCTTCTTTTTTTTTTAATGCATTTGGTTGTTACAGGGTCTCACTACACAGCTTGGACTTGCAGTGATCCTCCTGTTTTCAGCTTCCCCAGTGCTGGGATTATAGGCATTCACCACTACGTCTGGCCAGACTCTGGTGGCTCAGCCTGCCCTGGAGGCAGGGCTGGCGCAGCGTGTGGTGCCAGGGATCAAACCATGGCGCTTGCCTAAGCTGGCCTAAGCAGGCGCTTTAGTCTGCTGAGCTATCTCGTGGCTCTAAGATTTATTTTCTCACCCAGCATTATATCTGTCTAGTTCATTATGAACTAAAGAAGAAAATGTGATTTCTTTTGGAAGGTAGGGTATGCTAGAGGTGTCCAACCAATGTTTGGTTTTAGTGTTTTTACAGGATTTTTTGAATTTATGTGTATTATCAATATAATGCTGAGAAATATCTGAACCTCTGATTCTAATTCTGGATATGTCTGCTTCTCTCACAGTACTGCTGTGGCTTGTGCATGTTGGACTTTTTTTAGCTAGTACATTAGCATCATCTTCCTGGTCAGTTAATCCTTTTATCATTATGAAATGACTCTGTCCTTATTGCTCTTGGTTCTGGAATTTCTTGGTCGATGAGTCTACTCACTGCAGCTTCCTTGTGATTGGTGCTTGCAGGACATAGCCTTTTCTACTTCCTCTCTTTTAGTGTTAGAGATCAACCCCAGGTCCTCATGCAGCTAGAAAAGTGGTCTACCTCAGGACTATGTAGCCAGCCCTCCTGCTTGTTGTCTTACTCTCTCACTGTCTATATTTATATTACTATTGTGCATATTTGTAGGCCGTACCAGGTTGGGTCTCATTTTCTTAACCAATTCGATAATCTCTCTTTCTTTTAATTGGAGGTGTTAGGTCCATTTATATATAATGTTATTATTGATATGATTGGGCTTAAGTGTGTACTCTGTCTCATTTTTTTCTACGTGCTCTTTGTCCTCTTTTCCTGTTAATTACTGCTACTTATTATTACTATTCTCCTTTTTTGTTGCTGTGATATCAGTATTTTTTATGGTTCAATTTTATTTCTTTTATTGGCTTATTACTGATAGCCTTTTATTTTGCTATGTTAGGGTGTCTTTGAGGTCCATAGTATACCCACTTGTCTGGCATTCTGTAGGTGCTGAATAGCTGTGTGCTGAATGAACAGATGACTGAAGGCGTGCCTTCCTGGTGCCCCAGTTGCAGGGTTGCTGAGGACTAGAGGACATGAATGGCCACTAGGGCAATGTTGCCTGATGATTATTCTTTCCTCTCTTTTGCTTTTTCTCTTTCTCACTCTTTTATTTGTAGATGATTCTTTCTCTTGAGGTAGTTGCTCAAGTTTAGGCATCTGAGATCTGCCCTCCCCCAGTGCTGTGATGTTTAAGTAAATGTTGATCCCCAGGAGGTGCTTTTCCTGAACTCCTTGACAGTGTGTGCACGTTGGAATCTCTGGATGGAAGAACCTGTGGCCTTGGCCTATTGTGGTCAAGCCCCCCAAAGTAATGTATCCTTATCAGGAAAAACAGATTTTTATAAGGTACCCAGATAGGAAAAGAGCTCAAAAGAAATGGTCTAAATTTAACTTTAGCTGATCTAGGCAAAGCTGCACACATGGAAAGGAAGTTATGGCTTAACAGATTTTCCTCATTCTTGGAATGCTACCAATTTTTTCAAGGTTGTGAATATTTTCAAAAAATTGAATGTTCTAATTGAGAAATAAAAATGTTTTTTCTCTCTTTTTTTCTTTTTATTCCAGCAAGTAACTGGCAGAAGTTTTGGCGATAAAGATTTTCGGACTGGATTAGAAAATGGAATCCTTCTCTGCGAGTGAGTATAACCTATATTCTGTGAGCTTTATTCCTGAAGCGTTTTTAATACCATTCAGTTTGTCTGCAAAAGCTTCTGGTTTTTGATTTTTAATTTATTCACAGTTTGAATATGAACTCAACAAAATCACTAGGCTCAGCAGGAAACACAAGTAGATGAGGGGCTCTCCATGTTGAATGGGGGGGCATTGGCAACTACCAAAAAGACGGAGGAGGGGAGCATGCATCTGCTAACTGCTGTCAGGCCTGTCAGCATTGACTGTGAAGAAATTTGGGCCCAACTGTCATGAAGCAGGAACTTTTCTCCCCCTTTTAGTCCCCTTTAAGCCACCTTGCACCTAATGAAAACAGTGCTTTTACACTTGCATGCCTTCTTTTGTGGTACCAGGCAGGCACTTAAGCTGCTGAGCTATCTCCCTGGCCTGAGCCATACACATCTTAAAAGCACACTGCCAGCTCCTCACCAGGTCTGTGTTCACAGATGACTTTTTTTTTACGGAACTGGGGATTGAACTCAGACCCTTGCTCTTGCCAGGGAAGCGCTTATTCTACTGAGCCATCTCCCTGGCTCCCACAGAGTTATTTGTGCCACTGGTGAAGTTCCAACGTGGATAATAACTGCAACATTTAACTTTTGTTTTGAACTTAGCTGTGCTGCAGATCGCTGCTAGGATGGAAGGAAGGGCTTTCTGTGGGGTGGTTCTCAACCCCAAACAAGCAGGAGCCTTAGTACATATAGATATGTGTGGACAGCAACTTCAAACCAAGGTCTGAGTTTATTGAAAGGTTCAATAGTTTGTGTACTGATTTTCATTTTATTTAATTGTACTTCCAGGGAAATGTGCTGCTCCTGAATGTGTGATTTGGTGGGCTTTCAAAAATGTGTGCATGTGTGCAACTCACACCCTAAACAAGACACAAAACAGCGCTCTTCACAGCCCTTCCTAGGAGCGTCCGTGCCCCAGAGACAACATGGCCCTGATCTCTTCCACTGTAGCCTCTCTTTCACCTTCTCTTGAATATTACATAAATGGAATTACAGAATGGACTTATTCTGATGATTTTTAAGGTGCTGGTTTGATGTAGTTGGAAAAGCATGGATTTTAAGCCTGAAGCCTGACAGCCGGAGCCCTTTCTTCTCAAGTCCTGCATGTTCTTGTTCTTCTTTTTCCCCGTGTGGTGGTAAGAGGTCTGTTCTCCAGCTCACACACCACTGACTACTGGGCAAGATTGCAGAACCTTTCTACACTGTCCCTGTCAGCGTCTTCCCTGCCTTTCCCCTGCCTTTCCCTGCTCAAAGAGCTGCTGTTTCCACACCCTCTATCTTTGGACTCTCCCCCACGTCTCCTAATGTCCTCTCTCAGCTCCTCTGCCCTGTATTATTTCCAGATCACAGTGCACCTGGGGGGAGGCAGTAATTAGCTCAGCATCTCCTGACCACAGGGTAACGGGCTTCAAAGACTTGCATCCTGAGGGTTCTGTGCTTGGCTCCCTCCTGCCAACTGACTGCCAGGAGCTGATCTCATTTATATGAACCATGCTGTCAAAGCTCAATTGAAGTAGGTCTTTCATACCAGTTTTTGTTTCCTCATTTATTCCATAGGTTCTTGTAGCTGTGTGCTTTTCACTCTATTCCCATGAATAAATGTGTGGAGGGGAAGACTGCCAACCTAGTTTTGGATTCATTTGAAGACAAAACTATGGATCTACAGGAATTTCACATGGACTTTGTTTCTTTCTCAGCCAAAGATGCTGAGTTAGAGGATGGAATGTCACTGTGTGTCCCTTCTCCACAGTGGGTCGTTTATACCCTCAGTAGTGAATGTTAGGGTGTTGGGTGGAGAAGTGGGGTTTTGATTGAGGTGTGATTAGGAAGCACATGGTCAGAACAGGCAAGTCAGGGGATTCTTTAGATAAACAAAGAGCTTGGACTGCGGTGGCTTGAGGACAAAGCTGAAGGTGATGGCGAACAGGGGGACACTGAGTAGGAAGACAGAACTCAGGACATGTGAGTCGTTGTCCAAGTCCTCTAACCATGGGTGAGTAGACTGCTCTGTGTTAGACGAGCTTTGGAGTCCAAGGACCAGAGACTGAGTCTGACTTCCCCACATGACTGCAGCTAGCAGCTCTGGCAAAGAGGTGTGTACCGCACAGGTAGCCTGAGGCAAGAAAAGCCAAGAGCAGGAGCCCCAGGCTGAGCCTTGGAGATGAAGCGTGCTCAGGAGCCAGGGGCCCAGACGTGCACACCTTTCTAAGTGTTGGGCTCATAGGACTGTGAAAACCAAAGCCAACCCCAGGAGCAAAATGCAGTGAAGGTGGGTGACAATGGAGGGAGAGTGTTTCCTATATCACCTTTGTAGCTAGGATTTGCCTGAGCTGAGTGTATGGGGCTTCCACAAACTGAGATCAGCATGTGCATTTTCTGGGCCTTGTATTCCGTGGTTGCCTAAGGGACAAAGTAGACTTATACTGCTCCAGAGATGGAGTCAGCTTATGGAAGGAGACAAAAAGAGAAAGCTCATGGGTAGTGTTTTGGGGCAGCCATGATTTATAGACTGCGGAAGTATACAAATCTCAAACACCTGTCTTTGGAGAGTAGCTGAGAATGGCCAGGCTGTGCCCCCTGCTAGAGCCAGACAGAGATCTGTGGGTGCTACTGCAAGAGCTCTGACTCACAGATAGCTTCACCTGTGCTGCAGTGGGGATCCATGTAAGAGCTCTGTAGTTTTAAGTGGTTAAATCTAAGAGTTGAACTCTTCTTAGAATGGGGCTCCCATACTATCTGGCCTTCTTCAAAAAAAGAAAAAGCTATTCAGAGGAGTTCTTCAAAATAGATGCTCCATTGGTGTTGTGTGTGACCTGCTAGCAAACCCACAGGCAGTATTGGTGGGTATTTTTTTTTTTTCCACAATGTTTTTGTCTGGGTTAGATCCATTGTCAATGTTCATTACAACAGTGTAGAGACCAGGTGCTCTTTGCTCACCCAAATGCCTTCAGTTGTTTATGAGTCTGGAAAAAAAACAACCTCCTAGTTCTTAATCAAATAGAAGGGTGTCTTGGTTGCTTTTTACTTGTTGCTGGGACAAAATACGAACACCCAAAATGAAGGAAGGAAAGGTTTACTTAGCTCACAGTTAAGTGGAGGTTTCAGTCTAGACTGCTGACTCTAAGGCAGACAGCAGCAGTTCATGGTGACAGAAAACAATGAAAAGCAGAGGAGGAGCAGCTAGGGCATCTATCAAGACTCTTTCTTCCTTCTGCGCTGACTGTGAAGACCTGCGCTCCACCTCCAAGATTGGAGCGCCTCCAAAGTGGCGCAGCGGCTGGGATCAAGCTCCTCCAAAGTGGAATGGCTGTGAAGTGGCGCAGCTTGAGAATCAGAATTCTTCCCAGAAAGTGGGGCACAGAAGCCTTCCTCAACTCCTTTACATATCCTTTTTGTGCTGAGTCCCTCTGGTGCAGCTCCTCCCTGCCCTAGGGCTCTCCCCTCCAGGGTGTGGAATTGACTAGGGGATCCAGCCACACTTGTTAAAACAGTGTATCAACCACCATAAAGCATATCTTCTGAGGCTAAGGTCTGGTTTCCTTTTTATTGGACTAGATGCAGTCTTCCCTGTAGCCTGTAAGGTGCTATTATTAAACCCATCTTACACAGGAAGTAACCGAGAAACTTAGGAGTAGCTAACTTGGGTAAGTAAGGTCACACAAAGATTTAAATTCATGATGCTTAATTCCTTAGCTTTGGCTCTTGATCACTGTCCTGTTTCTAGAAGTGGGGTTTTTACAGGAGAGAAAAGCAGAGGTTGAGGGATGGGACTGGAGCGAGAGATCTGTGCCAGAGCTCCAGGAGTGCTAAGAGAGGGCTGGGCACGGCAAAGCCACTGCGTCCCTGCAGCTGAAGAGCAAGGCTGGGTGGAGCTGCTGCTGGGAGTGGGCAAGCACTGGGGAGGGTCTGGGAGCCTCTGCTGAGAAGAGAGGGCAGCTTCCTAAGTGTACGGCCTGGGCGAGCTGAGAGGGGAGCAGGCTCAGGTCCGCAGAGGATGCAGGACATTCCATTTTCTTCAAAACCTGATAGAGGAAAATGAGAGCAGGGCAATAAACAGCATTAAAATCACCCTGGAGAGGGCTGGCTAGATAACTCAGCAGATTAAAGCACCTGCTTAGTCAGAGCGCTGCAGCTGGGGTTTGTTTGCTGGCATGCCGTGCTGGCCCCATCCCCTGGCGTGCTAAAACAGTGATTGCGACTGGGCGTACCTGTAATCCCAGCGTTGGGAGGCTGAAAACAGAATAACTATGAGTCAGATCTGTGTAGTAAGACCCTATAGACTCTGTACTAAATATATAAAAATAAAATAAAATAAAGTCACCTTGGGGGCGGGTCTTTGACTTCACATGACTTTGGGTATGTGACCCTACACTGTGTGGGACACTTTTGCCTAAGTGTATAACTTACAGCAAGACATAGGAGGTATAACACAGACAGCATGTGCCCCATGGAACTATGATAAATGTGATTTTTTTCCTCAGCATGTCCCTCTTCCTCTGTTTTTTGCTAAGTCTATCTAGTGAAAATTTTCTGCTAAATGCTCAAATGATGTGAACCCTCTGCTGAGTTTAATCAAAGATCAGAGGCAAAATGCAACAGAAATGCAAACACATGACAAGTGTCATGCTCTTAGTAATACCAACCAAAGACTGCAGTGGTCATAAGAACTCTAAGGTAGAAGAGCTGGTCCCTAGACAAGCTGCTCCAGGGGAAGCAGCCGCTCATGCCCTTCTCATCCCTCACCCAGACTGGATGGTCTGGAGACAGTTCCAGAAAAGAGAGTTACTGCTGTTTTCCCTGAATGATGTTATTGTGTAGATAGAACTCTATGGAATTACCTCTAGATAAGAGGTTGGCAAATTATGGCCTATGGCCTATTTTTGTACTGGCCTTCTTGCCAGGAATGGTTTTTAGATTTTTAAAGGGTTATAAACAGAACAAAACAAAATAAGAGC